TGACAAATTAGCGCCGTTGTTTTGAAACGTGACATATAATGTGAAGAACACATCAAACACTTCTCTCTTTGTATTTTTAATTTATTTTTTTACAGTAAGCTTTTTTGGATTTATTTGTCTGAAATGTAGCAGGAGTTCAGACACCTGCTGATGTTGTGAGCGCTGTGTAGAGCTGTCTGGAGACGCTGTGCGTAACGTGCACTGTCCACAGGGCGTCTATTTATTCTGTTGAATAAATGACTGTTTCAGTTTCAGGGTCTGAGAGGAGGAGAGAAGGACTCCACGCAGAACCTCCATGCGTAAATGTGACCATCTGTCCTTCCGTCCTCACTCCCCTCCACCTAGAGGCTGCTCTCGTGGTGGTGGGTGGGGGGAGGTCACAACCAAGGACCAAGGACTCTTCTCCCCTCACGGACTCAGCCACAACAAGGACTTGTTTTCAGTAAGAGAGAGAATTTACTATCATTTCCTTTAAAAGGTTTCAACTTTACAATTCCATTACTCTCCATTGTCCTTGCTCCTGTAAATAAAGAGCTTATTTTTGATAACTCTGTTTCTGTTTTTCTGTCCGGTCTGCCGCTTGGGGTCAAAACGTACTACAAACATGACAGATGTGGGGTCAGTTCCTGGTATGTTCCAGTTTGGTGACCATCAGGAGCAGGTTGCCCTGGGACTGACCTCTGATGCTGCACATTCTGTCAGCGATCAGTTCCTGGCTGATAAATGTAATCAGATGAAGACTCGTCATTTTTTCATCTCTCCATCTGATGTTTGTGTCACATAGATGTGGTCTCCTGTAAAAGTAAAAGTGTTCTTCAAGTTTCCACTCATTCAGAATTTCAGGGATGACCTGCAGAGTTAGATGTCATTAATCAAAATAAGAAAGAGGAATGATTATAACTTTGAAAGTTTTTATTTAACACAAAGCAAAACCAATGTGTCATTTTAACTGCAGTAAACACATTTAAGTAAAAGTTGTCTGATGAAAAAAGGAGCATTAGACACAACAAAGGAATATCTGATCATTTCAACTCCAGTTTGTCATCAAATCTAGTTAAAATACTGTCGAGTCAACCTTGTAATGGGTCAACAAAGTCCATGCTCAATAATCCAGGTATACAATCCAACATTTTTCAGTCAGGTCATCTGGATGGTTTCTTTTTTTGCTGAGACATTTTGTCCTTCATCCAAAGGACTTCCTCACTCTGAGCCTCGGATTGAGGAAGTCCTTTGGAAGAAAGACAAAACATTTCAGCCCCCCCAAAAAAAACGTCCAGATGACCTGACTGGACATTGTTGGATAATCACTAGATATTTTTGTTTGTGCTCAATTTAAAAGCTTGGTCTCTCTCTGAAGGTAACACTTTGAATTTTTGTCATAAATATTGTAACTAATGTAGGATTAACTGTCCTCAGATCGTTTAATTTTTATGAGTAATTTTATTTTGAAGGGGCACCACTGGCTTCTGGTTCTGAAGCCAGAAATTATTATTATTCAATCAGACTTTGAGTCAAAGTACAATTTTGTGAGATTTATTATCAATTTTGGTGAATATAAGTGATCAAAGGGTGAATACAGCTGCAGAATGAAATGATGGCTTTACTTGGACCACAACAAGAGGTTATGGAGTTATCTTTTAAACTTTAATATGGTGAGTTATGAGGTTACAAAGCAGAGTAAATTATCATCTATAAAGTTAGCTAAATGAAGTGTTTTGGCTAGATGTGATTTGTCAATTTAGGAGAACTTAATTCTAATTAATACTGATGATTTTTTTAGACTGGACAACTTCTTATCTTGGGCCTCAGACACCAGCAGAGAAAATCTGAGCAGCTTTTTCCTACCGATTGGAAGGTGGTCTGCAATTCAACCGCCCTGAGAGTCACCAGGACTCTTGAGATGAATTATGGCACCGAAGGTGGGATTTCCCTCGCCTCTGGAAATCAGCTGAAATCTAGAGTTGAAAGTTGCTCCCGAGGGGTCGGTTGATGAGCTCCCGGAGGGCTGCGTTTTCTCCTTCTGGTGGCAGAGATCTTCTGGCAATAAATATCCAATTGTTTGACCTTACTTCTTCAAAGCTTCTTCCAGTCTGCTCTAAGCTAAAATGTCAGAAATAAATTTCTTTGACTTAGAGGCGTTACAATGTGATGGTCGAGCAATCACAACAGAAGGGTGGACCTTCTTTCAAGTTACTGTTGAACTTTAATAACCTTAATAAAAATATTAAATGGCTAATTTACTCTGCTTTGGTAAATTCTCAATATAACAGAATAATCAAACTTCTAAGCAGTTTTTTACTCATCCATAAACATTTTCAGTAGAACTTATGCACACAGTTGTAACTTCTGAACACCAGTTTTATATCAACTTCCTTTATGCATGATTACTGAGTATTGAGCTTAGAAAGTAAATAAACTTAGCCATTTTTACAGCAAAACATTCAGTTGTGTTCAGGAGAACTCAGAAATTTAACTTGTTAAAGAAATGATTTCTACGGTGAGATGGAAACAAGAGTCTTTGAAAACAACGGGGTCTTTCTCACACTCTGGGACTGGAGGATGAATCCTCCCTTTAGGAAGAGATAAGCGTACGTTTTAGATGTTATATTTCACAGGTCAGATGGAAAGGTTCTCATACAAAAGGGCCTTTCAGCTTTGCTGAAATCCTAATACCAGGTGTGCAATTAATTACAATAACAGGTTTTTGTCATTCATCTTATATGATAACATGTGATTCACATATGGTCCAGCTTTGGGAATGGAGAGTCAGTCTTACTTTTAAAGTATCAAAAGAATAAAAGTTAATGATCGAAAAACCTTGATGTGTCCCTACACTAATACGTAGTTGTTAAAGTTGAAACACATTATTTTTATTTTTATTAGATTTTTTTTTCCTCATCTGTATTTTTTTTTACAATTATGAGGCTGCAGCATCAAGTCTTAACTATTACCACTTCTAATTTCATAACAGTGGCACCAAGAATGATTATTATGGACATATTTTTTTATAAGAATATATCCACACATATTTCAAAGTGTCAAAATGGAGTCCAACATGTCCACAAATATGGACACCAATATCATAAAGCTGTAACTCCAGAAAGCTTCAATACACAGTCATCAGTGAGGGATAACAATAAAGGTACGAACCACAGGAATCATATTCTACATCCAGATTTACTGTTGCACAATTAAAATACAGCAAATTATGAATAAAAAGTAAGGAGACAATAAGCTCATAAAAACAGACATCTGTCATTGTTTATAGTTAATTTATATGTTATAGTCTGCTGGACACATCCAAACACAGGTTTGATTTTAAAAAGTGTACAGAAAGAAATAGTTTCATACACAATATGGTGTTTAATAAACTTGCAACATATGTGTTAGAGTATACTATTAGGTACGTAATACATGTGATCTATAACTAACTGCAAGCTACACATAAATATGAATTATAATAAGCTGTAAGTATAAAAGAGTATGATAGTACTTAAATAAAATACTGTACATATTCCTGGTATATTTCTTACATTATTGTAGCTTTCTTACAAGACATTTTAATATACCTAAAATATGAAAAATGCATCAACCATGTAAGGCTACATTCCCACTGCAGTTCTTAATGTTTGATTTAGATGATTATTATTTTGCTTGGATTGATTTTGTTTTGTGTTTGTACGCATGTGGTTCTTTACATACTGCAGTAATTTATATGCAACTGTCATCAGCATCAAGTGTGAACGTCACACACATCAGGCAGTGTTTGCAAAAGTAAATAATGATGTAAATAATGAAAGTATTGAATATGTATCAATTCTGAAATTGTTATGCAAGCAAGCTGAGTTGGGGGGAATTTGTGGTTATCTGTCCGTAACCGTGGCTGAGGTAATTAAAATATTCTGCGGAGGTAGGACTCTGGGGGTGGATGAGATTCACCCTGATTTCCTAAAGGCTCTGGATGTTGTGGGGCTGTCTTGGTTGACACGTCTTTACAGCATCGTGTGGACATCGAGGGCAGTGCCACTGGATTGGCAAACTGGGTTAGTGGTTCCCCTCTTCAAAAAGTGGGGGTAGAGGGTGTGCTCCATTTACAGGGGCATCACTCTCCTTAGCCTCCCTGGTCAGGTCTGTTCAGGGGTACTCAAGAAGTGAGTCAAGTTGGTCAAACCTCAGATCCAGGATCGTATGTTGCTTTCGATTCTGTCATCCAGACATAACAAACTAAAAGAAAATAAACAAAGCAACTGGACTTTTGTTCTGTAGCTAAAGGCATGCAGATTTACAAGATTTGAACTGTTTGTGTCATTATTAGTCTTTGGATTGATTTGCATGCCACTACCTCACTGACAAAAACCTAGAATGATATGCAACATGACCGTTCAGACCAGTGCCTTTGTAAAACATCAGATATGTATAATGTATATGTTAGTACCACATGTGAAAAAAAAAGAAGGGGGGCAGATTAAAAAACAAACTGATTTGTCACATTCAGACTGTCACGAAAAAAAAAAGGTTTAAGATGGCAAAAAAAGCGACGGACAGAAAATCAGATTTTTGCTGTTTTTGCCTGCAGAGTTAACTTATCCTAATAAACTGAAAATTAGTGCAGAGGGTTATATATTTAAGTGTACTGAAGTAAACTTTAATTTCTTCCACTTTTTCACACAAAAAAATTAAACGAACCAAAATATTTTTGTTGTTTCTAAAATTTAAATACAAGTGAAATAGCACAAAATCAGGTAAAATGTATTTGCCTAATTTTAAGTGCGCTAACATTTATTTTTATTGGAACATTCATTTTTATTCGGGGGAAATCCCCATCAGCCACGTTTATAAGAAAACATCTTCATAAAAGTTGTTATCTCATAAACAAATTAGCTCAAAGCTGTGCAGGCTAACTTTTTGTGTTTTAAGAACTTTCAGAATAGGACGTCCCCACAAGTGATCCTACAGGTGATGCACATTCCAAATGAAATTTAGTGTGTGTGTTGTGAATGTCAGTGTTTGTATGTTTGTGTGTTGTGTATGCTCCACACATCTCCATTCAAAGCATTGGCAGCTCCCTGTAGTGTCCATGTGAACAAAGCCAGCTGTCTCCTGAAACGATTTTCATCAAACCGCACAGGGTCAGAGGTAAGCAGGGCCAAGTGCTCAGCAAGGGCACTCAAAGTGTGGTTGCCACGCCCATGGATCACATGACGGAATGGCGTCTCCATTGCAGACACATATTGGGACAGGAAGTAGTACTCCACCTGGAAGCAAAAGAAGGAAATTGTTGTCTTTCTATGAATCCATTCATCCACGATAAAGGAAGCAGGTTAAAGAAGCAACAGTCTAAACGAAGATTCCCAGACCTCTCTCTTCCAAGCTACTTATGTTCTTGGGAACTCCAAAGCATTTCAAAATCAGCTGTGAGATACTGCATAATCTCTCCAGTAACTTCTGGGTCTGTTTCCAAATTCTTTCCCAGTAGAACATAAAAGAACCCTTTTTTTTTTTCAAGATGCTGTGTGCATTGAATGATCGTGCTAGTTCCTTATACTTATGTTTCTGTGAACCTGATGAACTCTATTGTATGGTCTCTATCCCTGTGCATACAGATATTGCATTGATGCAAGATTTTTCAGTTGTTGGAAACTTGCTGTTTTATATTAAACTAATAAATTATTTTAGATTGCTCATTATGACTGAAAGTTATAGCTGTAATGCTGGCATTGTTATGCACACTACTAATTCATTGCCCTAAAATGGTCATCATTAGTTGATGAGAAAAAGCCTAAAAAGCTCAAAAATTTATAGAGGATGTTTTTCTTCTTTCGGCCGTTCCCTTCTTCAGGGGTCAACATAGCAAACAAACTTGCGCCAAGACTTGGTAATTTATTTATTTATTTAAGCCTGCAGTAGCTTGGGGGTCAGTGCCGTGGTTTTGTAATCTTGAGCTTGTCGGTTCAGTCTCAAGTGGCATCATGAAGAGCATCCGGCAATTGCCGAAGGATGCAAGATTGCCTCATCTTTAATGCAAGTTCACTTGCTGTGGTGGCCCTTGAAGAAGGGAGCTGCAGTAGTTGAAACTTTTGTTTTATCAGTTATCACAAAATCTGGTAGATTCTTAGTAAATAAAGTGGATGGACTGGAAGCACAAGCGAAATCACAAAAGGAAGCACAAAAAGTGCATATATGTGCATGGCTGTACAGTTATATACTGGATTTCATTCTGACTAGTCCTGAATCAACATGGTTTGTGGGAACAGACACATGGCGACAACTGACAAGAATAAAAGAGCTCTGTGCGCAATGCAGGACATAGTATGGTCAGGACAACAATTAGAACCACTGTTAACAGTACAAATACAGTACTTCCAACTGAGCTCCCTGGACATTTACCAGTCATTTTCGGACTCTGAGTGTTGACTAGAAGGCTGTGTAACCAAAATCTATAAAGGTTTAACAATAAACAAAGCGGGTTCAGGTGTTGGACGTTCAGTAATGTTAATGCAATTAACATTAACTTTCATACAGGTGTGAGGTCTAAAAGCTGTGTCAATATAAAATTAAAAGCAATTGTTTGCAGGTATTGGATCCTTAGTTATCACAAAAAATAAGTTAATAGCTTAAAAGTCCATCCATCCATCCATTATCTTGACCCGCTTGTTCCATTTTGGGTCACGGGGGTCGCCGGTGCCCATGTCCAGCAATCACTGTGGGAGGGGTGGGGTTCACCCTGGACAGGTCTCCAGTCCATCACAGGGACACATAGAGACAAACGAGACAAACAACCATTCACTCTTTCACTCACACCTAGAGACAATTTAGAGTTACCAGTCAGTCTAACATGCATGTTTTTGGTCTGTGGGAGGAAACCAGAGTACCCGGAGAAAACCCACGCATGCACAGAGAGAACATGCAAACTCCACCCAGAAAGGACCCTGGACCGAGGTTTGAACCAAGGACCTGCTCTCTGAGAGGCAGCAGCTCTGCCAGTTGCGCCACCGTGCTGCCCTGCTTAAAAGACCTTTCACCATATTTTATGTACTGTAGTGTCATTATTTTGCCAGTAGGTGTCAGTGTTGCTACAAGGACAGTAGTAATAGGAAATTTCTTATAAACAGCTTTGGCAATTTCATATATGTTGTGTAAACAACCTGCAACTATGACGTTTTCATAATTTGAGAGTTTTATTGATTGCATACGTTGCAGAATTTGTACGTCTATAATGCAATTGCTTTAGTAATTAAGGTTTGTAATATTCGTATAGGTATAATGCTGATGTCATAGCATCCATCCATCCATCCATTATCTTTACCCGTTTATTCCATTTTGGGTCACGGGGGTCGCTGGTGCCCATGTCCAGCAATCACTGTGCGAGGGGCGGGGTACACCCTGGACAGGTTGCAAGTCCATTACAGGGCCACATAGAGACAAACGAGACAAACAACCATTCACTCTCTCACTCACACCTAGGGACAATTTAGAGTTACCAATCAGTCTAACATGCATGTTTTTGGTCTGTGGGAGGAAACCTGAGTACCTGGGAGAAAACCCACGCATGCACAGAGAGAACATGCAAACTCCACCCAGATGTCATAGCAATGACTACATTTTTTGTAGTACTTTTATGTTCATGAAGTGAATATTAAAGTAAATATTAAATAAGTTTTAATTATTGCATCATCATGATGCTGTTTTTAGCTTAATAACTGAACAATTTCCGGCACTTGTGCCTACATAATGTAAATGTTCTATTATTTTTTTTTTTTGTAATAGTGGAACCTCATAATGCAAAGGTTGTCATAATGTTTGAACAATTCATATAACTCAAACCTTCATAATGCGGGTGTTGTAGAGGCGCGCTGTTGTGGGATCATGCAGGTCACTGTAGTCAATGCCTCTCTGCAGCATCTCTGCAGCTCGACTGTAATCTCCTCTGGCACTAAACAGCCACTGAGGAGAAACACCTCTGGTCTGAAGACACAGAGAAAAAACAGCCAATATTTTGCTGACATCACACCACCTCAACATCTGTAGTAGACAAAGTTGTATGACTGAGTTACCTGTAGCTCGGCTGAGTGTTTGTTTAATTGAGCGCTAAATAACAAGACTGTCTGCGCATAGGAAGTGATGCGTAAAGGAAGGATGTGGTCATGGACCAACCGCAGCACCATTTCCCCCACCAGCTCACCCAGGCTTCGCCCAATGACACCCAGACGACCCCCTAGAACTTCCTGTAGTCGGGAGACGCTGTCCATAGGCGTGTTGACAAATGGGTAAGCTCGCTCCTGGAACACAAAAGTGATATGACAAAGTTGTTGCATAAAATGGAGCAACTTGACATCATGTGTTGTCTTTTGATGCAACATTTCATTTCATTTAACTATATAACATACTGTCACATATATAGATTTAAATACAGTGTTTAGAAAGTACTCAAATCATCTTCACTTTTTGCAATTTTGTTATACCTAAAATCCTTTAAATTATTTTTTCACATTTACTTACACTTACTGCACCATGATTACAAAGTAAAAAACTTGTTTTTTGATTAGGTATCAATAAAAAATAAGAAGTATCACATATATGGGCTAGGATATGGATTGCCCTAATCAATTGTATCTTCCTGCAGCAACCTAATATGACACTCCTGTTGCATGGTGCAAACTGACAGCATTTAGCTTGTTTGTGTTGTGTTTAAGTGGATTGCAGTAAAGTATACCTTAGTGAATCTAAGCTCGATGGCTGGAACTCCTGCAAATGCAGTGAAACTGTAGGCTCCACTGTTCAAATACAGAGGTTTTATACTGAGGGGAAACAGCAGCAGATTATTTTCAGTCATCATCATCACTTTAAATGTTTTGTATGACACACAATATGATCATATGTGTATTTGCTTTTCTCACATCCTCCAGCTGCCTCCATCTTTTTCAGCCTGGCTGTAGATGGTCTGACCTGCATGTTTGGGGTGTTCTACCTGAAACACAAAAACAACACATGAATCTGTAGAAAATGACCATCGGCAGCGCCTATACTGTATATGGACAATTTCAAAAAACTTTGAATACTTTTGTGTTTACTTCTAAGCAAGTAGTAGCAAGGCAGGTATGGATAAATGTATGGAGATCTAAGTAAGGACCCTTGTGGAACGCCTACTTTTTTCTAGTTTTGTATTGTACAGCTTGTCTTGTAAAGATATCGAGAGAACAAATCTATGAAAACTCAAGCCTGGTAAAATGTGAAATGTGCTGCTGCTTATCCATACTGCTGATCTCTTGCCTTTAAGCTGCTGTATTCATACCCATCTGCTCATAACAGACTTATGTTTAGGCTGCTGTTTAATACACTCTATTATAGTACATTATTATTGTTTAGCATATATCTAGAATTGTTCTAGAATTGCACCGCTCAAGGTGGCTGCATGTTGGAGCAGCTCTGTTTCTTTCATTCTGAGATTTTGCTTTTGGAAACTTTAATTCCTCTTTTTCTGGATGTAAATCACATTTTTTTTGGATGATTGTTTTCTCTGGTATCGGATGCTGTGCACCTGGAAGGATTTTTACTGAAACTTTTTTAGTTTTGGACATTTGTTATGATGCGTAACCAAGGCAGTTTTCTACAACCAACAGCAGCTGATTAACATCTCAAAAGCTCAAATAATATCTCAACTACAGCCCCAAAACTCAAATAAGTTGAAAGGATGTTCTTTGGACGCATTCTCATCTACATGCCAGCTGTGCTCAAGTGCCTGACCACTGAGATCCTGGAACTAGCAGGAAACACGGCTCATGACAGCGGAAGGACAGAATCGTCCCTCGGCACCTACAGTTGGCTGTCCGCAGCGACGAGGAGCTCGGCAGACTGCTGGGAGGAGTGGCCATCGCTCTGGGAGGAGTTCTGCCCGCCATTCAGGCGGTCCTACAGCCTGGGGGAACCGAGAGGCCAGCGAGTCTGGGTGGACGGATTGGACGGCATGTGCTGCCAGTTTCTTAGGATCCACTGTGGGATGGACCTTTACAAGAGATCCTTCCTGCCTACAGCCATCAGTGTCTATAACATCTCTTAATGAAATGAGGATCACGAGTTACAACAACAAATAATTTCCCTTTGGGATTAATAAAGTATTTTTGAATTGAATTGAATTGAATCTTAGATCCTTATACTTTTTATTTTTTTATGCCATTCAATTCAGTTTATTTATATAGAGCCAAGTCACAACAGAAGTCATCTCAGCGCACTGAACAGAAACATTCATATACTTTATATTTTTACTATATTTGGATGTAACTGGGACTTTCAGTACACTGTTTCGTTCCACCTCATGTACCTCATGTGATGCAAATGACAATAAAGAACCTTGAACCTTCAATTTTCACCTGTTTGATGGCAGAGTCAAGCAGGTCGACCAGTAATGGGCTGGTGTAGGCTGACAGGATGTCATCACCTGTTAATAGACAGACAAGTGATTCATTTTTCTGTCCCTCTTTGATTAGCTGTAAAATTATAAATGGCTGTTGATTCACTCAAAGCTCAATGCTACCCATGATGGCCTGGTCCAGACTAAAGTATGCCACAGCTTTCAGTTGAAGCATTTGTAGGTAACCCTGATAATCACAAAACAGTGTTAAAGCTGATTTTGGTTTGTAAAACTGTAAAAAGTTGATTTTTTTTAGCTAAAATAAAAAAAATAATAAAACCTCAAGCCATTCAGTTGCTCCTACGCTCCCAAAATCTCCTGCATCCCAGCTGACAAACAATAAACTGCGTCTGGGACTAAAACCTGAAACACATCCAACATCACTTTAGGGAGAAACTGTGCCTGTTTCTCAGTTGCACAGGACTTACAGCAGTATCAAGGTGAGTCCTACCTTTCTTCAGCATGGCTGAGAAGGTTCGAGCCAACTCCAAAAGGATAGCTGTTCCAACTCCAGACTTTACTGCTCCTGGACCCAGCGAGTCCCTCTGAGCTCCCAGTATGATGTACTGGTCTGAGGGTAAAATGGATGGGTTGCAAATGCTGAAGAGACATTCATCTTTTTGTGTTGTGATGTCAAAGCATACCTGGTTCAACACGGCCCACCAGCGAGGAGAAGATGTTGTTGAGCAAGATAGGCTTCATTACATTGTGAACTATCATTCGAACTCTGTGTCCAGAGCTTAGGTCTGGACCGAGCAGGCAGCGGACGTATGGCAGCCGACCTCGCCAAGACGGAGGACATGCTGGACCCGACAGCTGGCTGGTATGCAAATAAAATATGTGGGAAAAAAAGCTTGAGCAGGTAATATGAAGGGGAGGGGCTTACCTCAGCAGTTTGGCAGCCACAGTAGCAGTGATGGGCAGAGCTGGGATTAATGGCAGGCCAGACGATGGTATGGGTGGAAACTTAGAATGATTGAACGAAGGAAAGCCAGGTGTGAAGGGGTCACCTGACCCCAGATGGACCTACAAAGAGAGATGCTGATTGGTCTGAAGGACAGTTATGGTTTAAGCTTTTCTTTGTGTTCAGTTGTGCATTACATGTTCTGACACAGCAGTGTGTGAGTTTAGTCCCAGGCGGCGAGGGTCCTGCGGCAAGTCTGCAGGGTCAGGGTAGATCAAAACTCCACCTCCGCCATTCCTCTCAGCCATCCAGACCTTCTCTGCAAAACTGATGCCACCTCCAACACGCATCACCACCACACAGCCAGCCACTGACACGCCCACACTCTTCAGCCAATTAAAATCCTCTGGGCGACCATAATTGGCATACACCACACCTCCCTGTAAACAAACAGGTAAATTAAACTAAAACTGTGGTTACCATAGTGACGCATATTTCCTGTCTCACTCCCTTACTGTGTAGTTTCCCGTAGCACTGTATGGACAGTAATCCAATGGGTTTAGAGGAATCTGTTCAGCAATCAGACCTTCAGAATCCACAAGCTGCAGTGAGCTTCTCTGAGTCCTGGTGAAAACAAACAAATCCACACAAACAAACCAATGACCACCATAAAGACAAACACATAAACAATGGTCAGACTAAACCACTGCTAAAATGTGTAACTAGGGTGTGAACAGCTTTTCATTTACTCCATCCATATCCATCTTCTGACGCTTATCCACAGTCAGATAACAGAGGAAGCAGGTCCAGGGGAGAAACCCAGACAACCCTCTCCCCAGCGACACTTTCAAGCTTGTCATGGGGGAATTCGAGGAGTTCTCAGGCAACAGAAGATGTACAATCCCTCCAGAGGCTTCTGGGTCTTTCCCAGAGTCTCCTAAAAGTGGAATGTCCCTGGAAATTCCAGGCAAAGGCAGAGAGCTGGATGACATGATGCATAGAAGGAAGGTAGATGTTTCATGTGTCCAAGAGACCAAGTGGAAGGGTAGCAAGGCTTGCAGCATTGGAGCAGGGTTCAAACTGTTTTACCAAAGTGTGGATAGAAAGAGAAATGGAGTAGGGGTGGTCCTGAAGGAGGAGTTGACAAAGAATGTAGTAGAAGTGAAGAGAGTGTCAGATAGGGTGATGTGCCTGAATGTAGAAGTAGAAGGTCTGATGCGAAACATTGTTAGGGGTTGTACTCCACAGGTCAGATGTGATGAGGAGGAGAAAGATACATTTTGGAAAGATCTGGGTGAAGTGATAGAGAGTATTCCCAGGGAGGAGAGAGTGGTGATTGGAGCAGACCTGAATTGACATGTTGGTGAAGGAAACGGAGGGGATGAGGAAGTGATGGGTAGGTTTGGTGTCAAGGAAAGAAACCAGGAAGGACAGATGGTTGTGGATTTTGACATGAGAATGGAAATGGCTGTAGTCAACATTTGTTTCCAAAAGAGGGAGGAACATAGAGTGACCTATAAGAGTGGAGGAAGGAGTACGCAGGTCGACTACATTCTGTGTAGAAGAGGAAACCTGAGGGAGATTGGAGACTGTAAGTTTGTGGCAGGGGAGGGCGTGGCCAGACAGCATCGGACGGTTGTGTGTAGAATGACTGTTGTTGTGACGAAGAGAAAAAGAGTAAAATCCGAGGTGCTCCACAGAACGCCACAGGAAGTCCTTCTTCTCTGTGGCTAACACATTTTTCAACTCCTCCCCCTTTCTGCACAAAGGACAATACAATTAATCCTTCACCACAATAAACACTTTAATGTTTCTGTCTGCACCTGATCTGTTTTAGAACTTAATTGTTGGTATTTTTATATTTTCTGTTGTTTTTTTTTTTTTACATCTTGTGTGATTCCTTGTGTTTCTTTGTACTGAAACTCTGGCACAACAATTTCCTGCAGGATCAATAAAGTCTTATGTAGTATGACATATGCGTATATATTCATACTTTTTCACGAGTTCCTCATCTTTCTGACTGTGTAAATGTCGTGCATTGAGTTTAACAAAAATGTAACGAGAGACGTTATTTATCTTTGACCCATCAAAATGAATGCGGTCATTTATTTGCAGAATCAAAGTTTAACATCAAACATTTACATTAATTTGGCAAAATATGAAAACAATAACAGACAAGTTTCACAGATAATGGACATCAATCACACGGCGGTGATCGAGGACTTTGCTTCAGATATTTCTAAAATATCTGTACTGATTTTAGGAGAAAGGAGAGTTTAAGATGGAAATGGAGATTTATCTTACAGAGAGATGTGTGAGGGAATTAATCTGTTTGACCAGAAACGTGCACGCTCCTTCAGATCTCAGCTTGCCCACGGTACACTTGGTCGAAAATAGAACCTTCTACCTGGTTGATGATAAAATCAGCGTCGGCGTAGGGTTCCTTTCTGACTCTTTCAGCGTCTCCGTGAGGACTGCCAAACCCTTAGAGAGTCGTACGAGGTTATCCAAACAGAAGTTATAATCCCAAAACGTCTCTGGATCATCTTGAATGCGTTTGCATCCAAGAACTCTGAACTCCTTTCATCTCTTTAGCTCTCAGAACTCTGTTACACTCTAGCTCTTTAAATCCATCACTCTTCAGCACTCTGTGTGGAACTCTTTTTGAACCGGGAAGTTGCCACATTTTAAATGAGTTGACTTCCGGGTCAATTTAGAGCTTTCTGATTCGTGGATGGACCAGAATAGAGGTGTGGTTTGTGACGTAAGATGTTATCAAATTCAAGGGCAGAGAATGAGATTGTTTAAAAACAGACAGAAAGATTATTGCAGAAAACCAGACTTCGTGGAGTCAAACTCTTCTGTATCTTCTGTAAAGATTAAACATGACATTTCTTCTCGGTAAACATTTTAGTTGACCGAAGCCTGAACTTTAACATACTTACAAAACTTGCTCATTGAAGACAGAAAATCAAGAAATGCATATTAACCTGATTTCTTCTTTGAATGAGGAATAAAAATCATTACTTACTGTTTATGTAAAATAAGAATGAGTAGTTCTCTTCAACCTGTAAGCATTGAGTGAACTAACACAATTTGATTATCAAACATTTGTAAAATAGTAATGATCATAGAGGATTGTCTTTTCTGCTTGATTAATTCAAGAAAGAAAGTCTCCAGATGGCTCAAACTGTATTTCTGGATGCAGATCAATGAAATAACAGTCTCTGTCCATCTGATCAGATTTGAGGTCAGATCAGGTTCACTACAGTCCCCCCTTTGGAAATCATCACCTGTCCATGGGGATGAATTCCAACCGTGAACTTAGACCTTCAAATGTCCTTGAGCTTGATGTAATCCAGCAAGGAAGACCAAAGTCAAAAGTAATCCAGCAAGGAA